TGCCATCTATCCATCGAATTCTTTGTCTTCCTCTTGATTTTTTTTTTCGCTATTATTTGTCATACTGATGTTCGTATTGTCCATCTCTTGTTTGTTAATCTTGCTGTATGTCCTGCTCATTTTAATTTACTCGTACCAATGAACATGGTCTAGTACTTAACGTAATTGAAGCTTGAATCCGCAATTTCTGCGAACTTTCATTTTTACTGTCTTATGAAATTTAACAAATGATAACCAAAAAACTGTATTTCGGTCAGTGTTATGTTTCCTTGGCTTCTTGCTAAGCGTATGCTTTGATTCGAATAATTATGCGTTGAACGTGTAAAGAGATTCAATATTGAATAGGCTTTCGTATAAAATACATACGTATCTGGTATTCAAGGGAACTGGAGTTCCACAACTCATTGTTTCATATAATGCCTGAAATAGGGTTAAATTTTGTATACTTAAGTTTGAGAGGTTATGGATTCACTTATGAACATTGCTACAGTGTCAGGTGCTGGGAATTCAAGATCAGTGGATAAATTAGTCTAGATTTACAGACGTGTATTTATGTATGTTTATTTTATAAGTGGATTGTTCCTGTATCTTTTATCCGCATGCCTTCGCTTTACGTTGCTGTGTGACGTCATTTCGTTCCAAACCAGAGTTTTTGTCGGCAGATGGAGCTACAGAAATGGGTCTGTGCAACATGCTTCAGAGAGAGCTATCGAATCCAACGTTCTTAACACTATCGCCCACAGGTGTGCTGACAAATGATAGTCCTCAAGGTATAGCAGCAATTACAAGTGTCATAAGCACGATTATGATAACCATTCAAAAACACCTGTACGTACTGCACCAGTAGAAATTCTAAATTGTACAAGCAAGTTATCATTAAGCTTAGTATGTTAAAAATTACTTCTAAGTTCGATATTCGACATCTAATCACCTTAGAAACGTCTTGTAGTCTTACTGGCAGAAAGTATTGTTAATCAAACACTCTTACACACCTTTATTGGTACTGGTATAAAGTATTGTTAATTAAACACTCTTACACACCTTTATTGGTAATAGTATAAAGTATTGTTAATTAAACACTCTTACACAC